TAATTAATTGTACTTGAAATTTTAGAATTTTATTCATTATAATTAAATATTAATTAATTATATGTAAAAATTTTGTATTTTAATATTAATTGGTGGAGAATGAGGATCCCCGCCATTCACTGCCGGGAACAAGGATGGAGAAGGACTCTCCAACTCTATAAGGCCCCATTGACATCCCTATTTCTTGTTTGATGGATGTATAGTTTAACATATGGTTTTAAAGCCTTCACAATAGGGTTATTGATTGTCCTACTGTGTGCATTAATTTAACTATAAGATAAAAGGAACAATTAATTAAGTTATTTTAATTTGTGATGAATTGTCTTAAAATTAGTTAGTCTAACTATGAATGCTAGTTTTTGTTTTATATATACTCAACTAATTTCTTCTATCAAAAAAAAATTAAACTAGTTGTTTCTAAGCCTGGGCATGAGTTTTTATTTTATTTTTTTTATTTTTATCGGTTTATTAATTTTAATTGAGTTTAGAATTTTTATTTTTTATTTTTTATTTTTAAAAGTGTTATATTGTTTATTGTATTTTTTTTATAATTGGTCTTATTTTGAGATATTTTTAAGAGTTTTTCCAAGTAATTTTTTTGTCCCTCGAAAGTTTTGTTTTTCATTTGTGAAATCTATGAATGGTAAAGGAGTTTTTTTTTCTTTTTTTAATAAAGAAAGGAAAAGCAAAATTCTTTCATCGATTTTTGTTCATTTAAAAAAAATGATTTCAATTTTAATAATTTACGTACACGTTAAATAGAAATCCTCATGCACAATTATTATCTACCGATATGGAATCCAACACAGATCGTGGAACACTATTATTTGAAATTAAAGGTAGATAAATTTAAAAATACAATTATAATATCAGAATTAGTGAAATCAATTGTATTTATATATTTTTCAATACTAACCTCTCAGTATTTGGTAATCACATTGAGTACCAATTAATCTAAAATCAAGTCAAGTTGGACCTCATTAAGGGGAAACTCTCTTAATATCTATTTCTTTATTCACAAGACTCGAACTTGAGAACTTATTTAAGGAGAATCGAGTTTTTTTCACTTTGACTAATAGACCGTTAGTTATATTATATTTTTAATGGTTAAACTAAAAGTGTGTCAGAAAATCTATTGAATCAAGTGTGTATAATTGCTCTATTATAAAATTTCTTACATTTATTATTTAACTTCTTATCCTCATTTAGAAATAGTAAAATCATTTTACATAAATTATTGTACGGTGGCCAAACAAAACTACCATATGAAACATCCCTAAGAAGGAACTCATACTATAAAGAACGATGCTGTTTTAAAGATTGTCCATTGAGGTTATTGTTATTGGTTTTTTTTTTTTTTTTTGTATTGTAGATGATGTTACTGTAATTGAAATCTAATTATGCCGCGTCTATTTTTCTATTAGAAGATTAGAGAATGTTTACATTATTCAAAAAGTTATTTGACATATAAAGTTATTTATCGTATAAAATGTTTTTGGATGTATAAAAATTATTTATTATATTCTTTTCCTTTGTAACTTTAAAAGATATCAAAATGATTAAAGAAAAATAACTTAGACATCGTGATACATCTTTCAAAAGAAAAAATAATAATAATAATTAAAGAAACATTACATTTTGAATTGAATTGGATTATACTAATCAGAATCATATTGGGCTTTATATTATTTAATAAGTTGAGATTTTAATTTAAAGAGCAATAAGGAGGGTAGACTCTAACTCTACACTATTCCTAATTCTTTTGTCCATGTTTCTTTTTCTTTCTAAAAATAGAATCAATAAAACAACTCAGACCAAAACTTTTTGTTGACATAACAACTCTTTTAGTGAAAATCTACAAACTCTCAAAAATTTAAGTTTAAATTGTTAATAATAATTCGTTTCCATATTTATATTTTATGCCGATCATACTTGCATTTTTATTTCGATATAAGATTCAAAACATTATAATCTCAAGCGTAGGGATACAAGCACAAGATTTATTTCAAATGATATAAGGTTCACACTACCATTAACCATAATGACTAGCATAGACACTACCATTAACCATAATGACTAGCATAGACTCACACCTATAGGAAGCAACTGCTTTGATATCAACTGAAATGAAGTTAGAAAAGACAATATCAGAAAAAGTTCTTCTCTTTTATGCAATGGCATTTATTATAATTTTTATAAATTTCGTGTCTTCATTATTGGCATAGAAAATTTATTATCGTTTTTACAATTACATTTGAAGTAATTAATTTTTATTTAGATCATTTTGCATTTAGGTGAATATTTTTTTATCTTTTTTATTTGAGGTTATTTTAGTAATAATCATTTTTTTTTTACTTTCTATAGTATATTTGCATAAAAAAATGTATTTAGTTTGATTATAAAATTGATTATGTTGTAAATCAAAAAAATTATTATTAAAAGATCTCTTAAATATATTAAAACATTCGTAAGCTAATTATTTAATATCACATTTGTTTCCTTTAAAATGGTGAAAAATCATGACATTATAACAATTAATCTTTCATGAATGATAATAAAAATACTAAAATATTCTTAATAAATAAATACATAAAGTAAATTTATTAAATGTATTTGAATAATTTCATAAATAATCTTGTTACTTTAAATGTTAAAATATCCTGATTTTTGTTTTTTCTTCTTCTTTATATATATATATATATTTTTTTTTTCCTAATAATAATTTTTTTCTTTTAAAATATAAATGCATGTTAACAATTCACAAAACAAGTTGGATGTTGCTAGTTTTAAGTTGGCTTTTATCTCCAACCCGTGAGAAAGAATGTCTAAAGATTGATAGCTTGATAAATAAAAAAGAAAAATTAACAAACATTGATTTTATTCATAGTTCTTATTATTTTTATATTTTTAGCTTCATAATCACTAAAAAAACAAAAAAAATATAATCCTACAAATTTGATATACAATATTAAAATAATTGATCAATATGAATTATTCTCTCTTATTTTAACATCTAACCTAACCTCTTAAAATAACGTCAAACTCCCAAAACTCTAAAATATCTACATATTATCATCTATATAAATTAAAGTTGTAAAAACTCTTAATTTAAAAAAAAAAAAAAAGGAAGTCGTACCAAATCGAAGAGAAAATGGAAAGGTTGGATAGTATCAGTTCATATATTACTTTAAAATACCTAATTTTAGTTCTAACCACATGTTTCTACATTTTTATATTATCATTTTTTATAAAATTGCCTGATATTAATGACTGAAGACCCTACTCAAATTACTTCTCATGATAAACACCAATCACTTTATTACTTATCAATATTAGAACTAAGCAACCCCTAACATTTATTGAACCAACGGGGAAGAATCATCAATAATATCAAATATAAAGTACCATATATTTTTTTTTATTCTTTTTAAGACATAATTAATAATTGATTACAATTACCCTATATTTATTATTCTCTGCAATGAAACTAATGCCAATAGGAAGAAAACCAATAATCTTATCTTGAAGGCCAAAATAATTTCAAACAATATGCTGTATTTTACACTTATTGAATAAGAGAAGCTGTCTTTACAATTACAAAGGTAAAGTTCAATGATTCATTTCAAGTAAAATTGTTATATTAATAACAATAAATGTTTTTCTTAAACAACTGCAAAAGTAAGACTTCAAAATTTTAATAGAAAGATCTACCACCCTAGGAGAATGCCATCAACAAAAAATAAAATTGCATGAAATGAGTAGCAGATTATTTGAAAACTACAGACAAATTATTTTTTATTCTATTGTATAATCAAGTATAATAAAAATAACTCAATTTCATTTAATATTACATATTTGTAATTGCACCAAACCAGAAGTCCTTCTTCAGTCCGCGCTTGTACTCCGAAATAACCTGCAAAGCCCTGAGGTGGAACTCGGGGTAGACACTCCGATGCTTAAGTCAGCAATAATCGGGGCTACCTTTAAGGCGGAGATAAAAAGAGCTTAGGGTTGGTTTCAATCACCTTTTGACATGGCCTGGAGGGGGTATTTATAGGATCCAATGAGGAATCCACGTGGCATGCCAAGCAAGATAATCGGAGCCTGACGTGTCCATCCAGACGATTATTTCGGGACCGGGAATTTGAGAGGTATTCAGATGCACGGATGTCCACCATACTTGTTGTGCCACTCGTCATAAGGAATCAAGTACAGGTATGCTTATTGTCATTGTCATGCAGCTATTTGAGCAGGAAGCTTTGGATTCATTTCTCACTTCGGTCATGAAAGAATTACTGTAGCAGTCTGAGGCTTGGCACCTCGCACTTGTCCTTACACTATTCCCCCCTCGAAGTCATTCACTTGTGAATGATGTTGCTGGGGATAATGAGGGGAGTGTATGAACAAAGAAAATACGGATAAGTCATGGAAGTATAAGGAAGAAAGCTGTAATTTAAATTTAGACATAGCCGTAGCTAATAATGAAATACATAACAGTGGGTCATACTGGGGTGCCTTAAATGGAATATGACCGGAGTGATCACGGCTGTGGTCGTGGCGAAAATAATGACCGGAGTCATAATGGAGCCAAGGTCATAATAAAAAAGATAACTGGAGTTATAAAGGCTAAGGCCAAGGCCATGATGGAAAATGATGACTGGAGTCATAATGGCCGGAGCCGTAACAAAATATGATGACCGGAGTCATAAGGGCCGGAGCCGAGGTAGAGTATGTGACATGTGGTCGTAGTAACCAGGACTGAAGTAGAACATGTCTCTGTGGCCGGAGCCAAAGTAAAACACTTTGCTCGTCAAAAAGTGTAATGGTAAAAGTAAGCAGAAGTGCTGAGCTGGGCTTAAAATATGATGACCGGAGTCATAATGGCCGGAGCTGTAATAAAATATAATGACCGTAGTCATAATGGCCGTAGCCGAAATAAAATGTGTGATATTGGGTCACTGTGACCGAAGCCGATGTGAAATATAATGCATGATTATTGTGGTCGAAGCCGAGGTGAAACACTTGCAAAATTGAGAATGTATAAAAATGAACAAAGGTGTTGAGATGGGCGTAAATGGGCCCGTGTAAAAATACTGACATACGTGTGACAGTTGTCCTTGAAATGACGTGCGCAATAAATGCGGCCGTAAAAAAATAACTGCAACAGTTAAACGGGCAAATTTAAAAACGAACCGTCAAATTCAAAACGGTATCGTTTGGGATTGTCCATCGAATTCCAAACGGTGTCAACAAGAACCGTAAGATTAAACAAATCTTATCCGTTGAGATTTAATTTTGCCCAGAAGTATAAATAGGCATTTTTTCTGCAGAAAGAAGTTTACTTGCTTTTTGTTTTCTTGTAAAACTTCTACGAGAAGCTTTACTGTGCATTTCCGGTGCGTGAACTGCAACATCAACTGGGGAACTCTACATCAAGTCTTTCGAAATCGAAATCAGGTAATGTAGACGAAACTCTGATTTTAACTTAATCGAGGTGTCTCTCTCCTTTCTCCCTTTCTGCGATTGATTTAGAGTTCTCTAAAGGAAGTTAAGGTTAGAGATGAGAGGGATTGTGAATGTGTAACAGAGGGGGGTTTTTTTTTTTTTTTTTAAATGGGTCCTGACTTCATTCCTCCCCCCTACTTGGTGCAGAGTTTGAGAAAATGTCCTCAGAAGGAACAGAAAGTGTGATTGGGAGTGAGGTGATGCCTTTAGACTATGGGAGCATGGACTCGGGGAGTAGTCCATCCCCATCTAGTTCGAAGAAGACAGTGGAGGGGATGAGAGGGGATGAGGTGGTGGAGGTTGGGGGGAACGAGGTGGTAGGGGTTGAGGGAGATAGCATACCCATCACGGTAGTAGAAGTAGAGGGTAGA